TCACAAGTTAATTCTATTTTTAATTTTTAATGAACTGCCATACTGTTTTCCAGTGGCTGCATCATTTTACATTCTCACCAGCTATGCACAAGGGTTCCAATTTCTCCACATCCTTGCCAGAACTTATTTTCTGGGTTTTGTCTTTGTTTTTGTTTTTTGATAGCGGTGTTCTCATTTTAAAGCCAAATGGTAACATTCTTTGATTTGTTTCCATTGAACATGAGGTCAGTAGGATGAAGACACCAAAATAGCTAAATATCAACACGATTTAGCATTTGCATGCACTCAGATTGCTCCTTAATCAGGACAGATACGGAGGCCTTCTATTCAATTACAAATTAGAGTTAGCTGTATCTACTCTAGCTCCAAAACCCTGAGGGTAGAAAACTGGCTCTCTTGCCTCCTCAGCCCCATGTCAGCGCTAGAAACTATTTCTGTTTCTAACTGGTCAAGATACCGTGTGATCCACGAATGGATGCAGCCTTAGTCTTCTTTTCCAAAAATGAGTTAGCTTTCTCCAGTGAAGCAGGGATACATTTGCTTATTGAATCCATAGGCTTTTCTTTTCTTTCTGGTGAGATTTCTTTTTTTGGATTTAGCGGGACAATGAGAAATGAGAGTAATAGTCTCAATCTGACCAAAACAAAAGGATACTCATGACCAGTTACATAGCACTTATTATATGTCACATCTATTAGCTTATTTTAGCCACACAATAACACTGTGAATTCAGTACTATTATCAGCATTCCCATTTCCAAGGATGAGAAAACTGATCTGCAGAATGCTTCGGTGACAAGTTCAAATCACATAGTAAGTGGCAGAGCCAAAATTTGTACCCTGGCAGTCCAGTTCCATTGTCCATACTCCCAGCAGATGGGATCACATCCCCAACTAGCAATCACACTTGGAATGTTTTATTGGAATCTGTAATTGAAACCATGTTACAATACCAGACATATATCTCTCCCTATAAATGACTCCCTAATTCACCATCTAAAAAATTCAGCCAAACAGTTTCAAAGAGCCAACCCTTGGCTTTTGTGGTGCCATTCTCTTGGTTCCCCTATAACTTTTCCAAATACATGCTCTCTCTATCTTTAAATGATAGCTTCTCCTCTACCCACATCTTAATTATTGAGATTTCCCAAATTTCAATCTGTTTCTCTTCTTTTCACTCTGTAGTCTTCCTGCATTACTACATCAATGCCAAGAGCATCCACAGTCATTTAGAATGTGCTGATGACTTCCAAAATCTTTTTTTTTCCTCCAGCCTTATGTCTCCTCCAAATTCCAACTGCTTCTGAGATCCATTCACGCAGAAGCCCCTCAGGGACTTCAGACTTCATGTTTTCAAAGCAAAATCCAATATATCTGTGCGTGTGCATACACGCACATACAAACAACAGACATGCACCTGCATACCTGGGCTTCGGAGTCGGACAGACGGAGCTCAAAATCATGATTCTGCCACTGGCCATGTGTGTAGCTTTGGGCAAGTTAGTTAACCTCTCCAAGCTTCAATTTTCTCAACTCTGAAATGAGGAAAATATCACCTACTTCCCAGAATAATTGACGGGATTAAAATAGATGAAATACATAAACCACTTAGCTTATTGGGCCCAAAGAAAGTGCTCCTAATTAATACAATTGTCTCGTTGTTGTCTGTATAATACCACTTTTAATACACCAGCTTTACTGCCTTGTCGATGGCATCCCTGCCCTCTGGTTTCCCAGGCCCAAACCTTCATGTTATTTTCAGCAGCCTCCTTCCTCTTCCTCATTTCAGGAAATCAGTCCGTTTCTCTCTCTTGAACTTGGCCCTTTTCTTCCTCACAATTTACACCTCTCACAACTGAACTAGTACAAGAGCCTCCAAATGGCCCTCGGGCTAACACTTCCGCCCCCCCCCCCCCCCAGTTTCTGTCCTCATTACTCTGAGATCTTTATTCTGGGAAGGACAGCCCCTGTCAAAAATCTGTTCATTTATTCACTCAAAAAAAAATGAATGCCATCTCCCTACCATGATGAGCCAGACACAACTGTTTTTCTGTTACTTCCGAGGTTGTCCTGCCCTGCGCTAAACTTTTCTGGGGGAGGAAGCCCTGATATGTATTGTCTGCTAATTCCAGTGGCAAGTGCTGCAACTCTCACTGTGGCCAATTTCAAGTTACCAGTGTGATATCCACTAGCACAGAAAATGCCTGACCATTGGACATTGTGTCCTAGGATCCAGTACAGGCTGGTGCCAGCCCACGCCTGCCTGTGACCAGCCCTTTCTCCCTCAGACCCCACGCACCAGCAAGGTGGCCTCTGCACTGTTACCGGGACCAGGCAGGCTCTTCCATAATCCTGCCCTTGCATGCATGTCCCTTTTCCTGCCGGCAATGACTGACCTGCCGGCTCCCCCTACATATACTTCTGCTATTTTACCTTTATATTTCATGAGTCAGTAAAAAAGTCACCTTGGATGGCTTGCCTGACTCCCCCGAGATGTGTCAGTTATTCACTCCTCTCACATTTTCTTTGGCATTGGGGGATGCCACCCACTACGCGGTATTGTCATTCATCTGCCTATATGTGTGCATTCCAATTGTTTGTGAAGCCAGCAAGACCAGCCCAGCATACAGCAGAGAGTTCAATGAAGAGCTGATGAATGAATGATTTGAGAGATTAAAACCCTAAGACAACTGACTTCCTCATCAAGTCTACATGGTACATTTTCAGTCTAATTCAGCCTTTCTAAAGGATATGCTCTGACTAAACCATAAAATGAGATAAAATGATAACGATAATAACATATGAAACATTGTTCAGTATGTCAGAAAACATATATTCCAATTGCCAGGCTGTTTAATCATGTAGAAAAGTCATTTTTGCTTACTTTTCATTACACTTAATATTCCTGAGTTTTATTTTATTTACTTATTGGGTCTTTCTGGTTCAGAGTTTGAGCCCAAGGATTTTTGAGTCATCCCAGTACATCGTTCACTGCTGGGATAGAGATTAGCTATGCATGTGTGGTATCTTCTCTAAAATCACAGTTTCTCCTGGGAACCTGAGTCCAAACCTTTCCTTTTGTGAAAGATACCCACAGCTGGATTTACCAAAAATGTAAATTTCTCAAAAGGGGTGACATATGACCAATAACGTAAGTCCTTCTGTTCACCACTCAAATCCAGTGACTCCCAAAGAGTAGGCTATGAAGTAAACCTGAACTGTCGCGCCTTGCTCTGCCCGCCCCACCTCTCCATTACAAAGATGCACGTAATAAATATACTCCAGAGGAAAGATAAGGGCAAATGATTACCTTGTCTACAGCTGTAAGTAGTTTGGCTCTGTATACACATCAGAGAAGGCATAGCCGCTGAAGGCAGAAGCCTTCCTGGGGAAGAATGGGCTCCAGCAGACACACCGACACTGAGCACTTGGCCGGGCTCAGTCGGCTTCCACGGAGATGCAGCTCAGCTTCTCTATTTGTAAATAAGTAAGGCAGTGCACCAAAGTGAATCTGTTCTTCCACTTTGAGAAACTTGGATGCTTTCAGATCCGTTAGAGTCAAAGTGAAAAAAAAAAAGTCTTCTAGCCTTTTGGTAGATTTGGGTCTCACTTATGGTACATTTGGGTTTTACTTTGCAACTTTCGCACATATTCAAGGTACGTAATCTGAGCTGTATTTTTCACAAACTGGTACTGTCGTGGATGGGGTTCTGTTTGCTTACCTTTAAAACGTGATCGGCTGGTGTAATTAACTGTCCGAGGTTTCTCTGGAAGTGTCCCGATTCTTCTGTACGACTCTGCCATCTTGGATGCCGTTGTTATCTTTTCCAGCAGATTTTTACCACAAGTTGTTTAAAAACTATGATCTATTTAAGGATGGAGGAAATGAAGTGCAGTTGAAGAGACAGTTATGCTGAAAGATAAACAGAGCAATATTACTTATCAGAATGGGTACAATTTTTGCTTGCTTAATGAGTACAATATATAGCTTCGCAATATATACACAATGAGAAAAAAAGCTTTATAACATATCAAGTATGCCACGTTATTTCAGGCATAACTGTATAGGATACGTATCTAGGCCTGAGAGTGTAGATAACAAAATATAAGTGCTTTGCCTGTCTAAACATGTTAAATAAATGAGCATACGCTATCGCGTTCCAATACATTAGAAGATGTACTTGCATAGTTAATTTTCTTTTTAATGCACCAAACGTGATCACTTGAAGTGCAGAGCCAGAGTATATCTTAGTATTTGAAGAAAGGGTTCTTTTCATTTAAACAAATCTTTATTTAAATAAGCCTTTTGAAAAGGATCTGTGACATATCTTCTTTTCAGGAAGTTCAATCAGGGTAAATGGAGATAAAGAAGCCGTATTATAAGGAATATTATATAAGTAAAGATCACTAAGCCAACAAAAAAAAAATGGCAGCAGACATAGGGAAGGTAAAACTAGCTGGAATGTCATTTTAACTTTCTAGATTTCAGGAGCTTTCGTGTACTTTGTTTTGTTTTGTTTTCGGCATGTGGGTATTTTGGGAAGAAAGAGTGTGTGGGGGAGGGAGGGAGGGAGAGAGGAAGAAATAACTTCTTATTTCCATACGGTACAGAAAGAGTAACTGCAAAGGCTCACCTGAAATAAATTTCTGCGGTTGGATCCCTACCATGTCTCTTGGTAAGCACGAGGCCATGTCATAGCATGGTTAATGATCAAGGCAAACCCCAGAAGGCAAAGAGTTCACAAAACTCTCCACAGGTGATGTCTATTCTTGGTTCTTAGTCTTCTTCTACTATAGGCCATTGAAGAGTTCATTTCATGCAAGGCATATGGATTTTCCACCTAGGAGGGAAGAGGAGTACAGCCGCGGTCTTGATCAGACACTCTGCCCCAGTAGAAAGTGATGTGAAAAACATGAGAAGATGCTGTTGCCATCACTCCAGTGTACAGCAGGCTGGAGCGTTCTACGTCAATTCGCTCTTTCTCTCTCTTTTCTTAATAGGGGGTCAGCTCTGGTGCACCACTACGAAGGCCATCTCTGAGGGTGAAGAGCTAATTGCCTTTGTGGTGGATTTTGACTCAAGGCTACAAGCTGCCAGTCAGATGACTCTTGCAGAAGGGATGTACCCTGCGCGCCTGCTGGACTCGATTCAGCTGCTTCCTCAGCAAGCTGCCATGGCTTCTATTTTGCCTACAGCTATTGTCAATAGTAAGTGCTGAGTCCAATAGCCCAGTACAATAGCTTTGTAGTGCTGATGGGTATTTATGGGAGAAAAAAAAAATGTCTACTGACAGGCAACCAAGGACAGACTTTTTTCTCCAATGTTGTGATTTCATTTTATCTTCTAACTTTAAGTGTGTGTGTGTGTGTGTGTGTGTGTGATTGCTTCTCACGGGAATATGAAAAGGACACTTAAATTCATTCATTTCAGGTTGGATTCTTGAATGTCACATACACAAAAAAACTGACTTTCTAAACTAGTTGAACAGCATTCAAGGCTACTTAGCTATGAGGGGGTCGAATAGCTTTCATTGATGCTTCTTTAGTAGGATAACCGGTATTCCCTAAGGGCTATAGAGTTAAAAGCTTTAAAAAAGAAAGGAAAAAATAAAACAAAATTGGATTAGATATATTAAGAAAGAGAAGGTAGAGCCTGGGTAAATCAAGACATCATCTAATACAACAACAAAAACAAAAAAGAAACATGGGAAAATAAAGAAAAATACATATGAGCTGGAGAATTCCATACATGTATGGAGAATTTAAAAAATATGCTCTGGCAAATATGCCTTTGTAATTATATTTTGTTGAAATGACTAATGAACTTAGTTTGTATTCCTTGAACACAGAGTGACACTTTATATGACAGAAAATCCGTGATCCAGGAGTCCCCAGGTCTGAGTTCTAGTCTCAGCTCTGCTATCATCTAGCTCTGTGAGAAGACATGAATAGCAGTCACATTGTAAGAGGAGAGTAGATTCCAAAGCCAGTAGGTAAGCGAGGTGTTGCATTTAATCAAAAACGTACCTGAAAATTCATAAGACTGAATGATGCAGAATTATAGATACTGTAATGATGTCTTGATATTTTAAAAAATAAACAAATACTCAACAATAATTATGCTCTTGCTGTCACAGTAGCCTTTAAAGAAATTCTCAGGTGCATCTGGAATTACTGTACATCCAAACATTGGATCCAGTGCACCTAACCCGAGGTAGTATTTTTGGATCTCCTTCATGTAAATGTAGTTATTTGCTTTTACTGGATCTTTACTTTGATTCTGGTAGTGAGGAACTTGAAATAACATAGGCCTAACTTGAATTTGAAGCAAAAGGGTTTTGTTACCAGGGACACTGGGAGTACCTTAAATTATTGTGAAGCTACAATGTGTGAATGTGGTTTTTAATTATATTTGAGATTATACTCTGTTTGCTTTCTGTAACAAGATAACTTTTGATCCCAAATAAATCAGCATAGATGCATACAGCCTGTGGTCTCATTCTGAAATGAGCTAATCAGTTAAAACTCGTTCTGCTTAAATGGACACAACATGAAGCAATATGGCCCTCTGAATCAGTGGGAAGAGCTAAATAATAAATAGCAGTAGTATATAATTTTACAATCAAATTTTATTTTGAAATTCTATATGGTAATTGCTGTCCTTACTTCTCATTCACTAGGATTTGGTCCTCAGTTTCCTCCTTACCCCGTTCAACGTGCTCTCCCTGAGCCATCTCCTTCACTCTCATGGGTTCCATCACCAACTCTGTATTAACAATTCACACATCTCACAGCTGTTTCTGCTGAGTTTTAGACCTCTGTTGTCACCTTCCCCACGTTCCCCTGTATTTCTTACAGAAAAATCTAGTCCCACATATCGAACGCAGCCATATCCCTCAGTTTGCCCGGATTAGCCCCAATTTCCAGTTGTTACATGGCATCCCTCTGACGGGTGCTCCCTTTCACTACAAAGTGCCAGGTTTGCACGACACTGGGTCAGGTTTGGTCACCCTATCCCTGTCCTTGCCTGACCTCATCACCTGTCTGTCATCTGTTCCCTGTAGAAATGGATGAAACCATTACACAGAAATGCTCACAAGAAGCCTGGGCATTGAAGAGACCTTACCTTCTGCACTAGCATCGAATGGCAAAGTAGTGGTCATTACTCCTAGTCACTTCTAAATCCTCAATATAAGTTTTCTTCCTCTGTGGCCCCCTTGCCACTGATATGGAAGAGTGTTCCCACTAGGTTCCAATCCCAGTTCACTCACTTATGTGATCATGGGCAAGTTCCTCAATCTCAGTTTCCTTGCCTATAAATGGATAAAGGGGAAAACACACACATGGAGAATTTTTCCATGAGTAAATACATACAAAATACATACAAAAATATCCTAGTGTGACTTAACAACTTAAACTCTGTCATATTTCACTTAGATTATTGCAACTGCCTCCTCCCAGTCATGTCTTCCTTCCAAATTCACTACCTTCAAAACTCTACTTCACTGTTGTAATTCTATAATATCTGATTTTGTCCATCTCTTGCTTAAAATGATTCAGTGATTCTTCATAATCATTGAGATAAAAATCTAAACTTCTTAAGAGAGCCTACAGAGTCTTTGATCGCTACTTCTGCCTCCTCCAGCCTTATGTCTTCCAGTCCCCATCATGCCCCTTGCCTGGAATAGCCTCCCAGCCCTCACCCAGTCCCTCCGTCACGCTCCCATGCCTTTCCCTGGGCTATGCCCTTGGTCAGGAAGACCCAATCCTCTTTTCCACCTGACTTGCAGAATGTCATCCTTCACCATTCAGGTAGGGCACGTCATTATCTTTCCTCTGAATCCTTCTCTGACCTTGGCCTTCCTCCAGTCTTCTCACCCACCTAGTGTCTCATCCCACACCCCAAGCACTCCTCAGATGCCTCCATCCCCAGAATTCTCACTGTAGCCTAATGTAATTATCTGACCATTTATTCATCAATCCCAGGAGACTGTAAAATCCTTGTTGACCGCTTTTTGGTCTTTCATTTTAAAATGTCAAACAAACTCAGCATAGAGTCCAGAACATAGTAGGCATTCTCTAATTAATTTATTAAATGAACAAATGATATCAGGAGTCGGCACCGGGGCTAACTTTAGTTCAGCTATCCGATCCTTACCTTTTAGTCAATCAGATAAGCCAGATCACATTGCTATTTATAAATGCATATTTTTCTAAACCCTAAATGCATTGTAAACAACTTAAAATCAATCTCCTGTGCTTTTCCTGGTGGAGCCTCCTACAGTACCATTTTCTGAAGAGTCTGTGGGAAGGTAAATTGCACCGGGTGTAACATTTCTTTAAAAGCGTAGTCCTGGGCCATGGAACAGCACCCAAGACTGCCTCATCACTGTCTGATTGCCTAATTCAGAACCTGAGAGCAGTCTCCGAGAAACATTGAACTAAATGCCGCTTCATCCAGGGTTGGTTCCAAATGGGCAGCCGCTAATGTGTCCCTGTGTTTTCACCCACAGAGGATATATTTCCCTGCAAGTCGTGTGGCATCTGGTATCGGAGTGAGCGGAATCTGCAAGCCCATTTGATGTACTATTGCAGTGGGAGGCAAAGAGAAGCTGCTCCAGTATCAGAAGAGAATGAAGACAGTGCTCCTCAGATTTCCAGTCTGTGCCCCTTCCCGCAGTGCACCAAGAGCTTTTCAAATGCCCGAGCACTAGAAATGCACCTGAATTCACACAGTGGTAAGTGCTTCCCTTGCTGCTGCTTTTGCTCCAGGAGACTACTGTTTCCCTACATACATACATATATTCACAAATGCAAACATAGCTAATTCTACATCTATCTAACTACACCTAGCTATAAAATCAAAATCAAACTTGCTGGACCAGCTGATTGTGATTTTATGTCACTTATAATCAATATATTCTACTCAAAGGACTTGGATCTGAATTCTTTCCTAACAATTACAGTACTCAGATTGCAGGCCAAATCATTCTTTTTTTTCTTTTTTTAACAGCACCATTTCAGAAATAAACTCTCAATACCCTTTGTATGTTGTCGTTAATATTCATTGATTTAAGTGTCAAGTGATCTTTGGAAACTGACCATATTATTTCCCACATAGTAGGGAATAAATAGTAGGTACATAAAAATAAGTGCTGAATGGAAATAACACTGTTATTTTGATAGATCCAATTAAAATCACACTTGAGAGAAATTAACTTTTTTAACATTTTTATTGTTATGTTAAT